TCTCTTTCTCTCTCTCTTGAACTCTTGAACTCTCTCATTCTTCCCCTGTTTCTCTTAACCCTCTTTCAATTCGTTTCATTTTCATTCCCATCAGTCGATTATTCGGATGTATACTGAATCGGTTTATGCAAAGCAGCGTACTTGGGCATAAGCACTGGCAAACCCTGGACAGCTTCGTTCTTTGAAACTCTGCAGGATATAACTCGAGTTGTCGAGCCGCATGGGGACCTTAACACTGAGATCGTGACAGCACATTTAGTCTCGGTGCTATCGGTTATCCGCGTGAAAGCTTTCCTTCACAGCGAATTCTCAAGAGGTCCAAGAGGAGAGAGAGAATTTCTCTAAGAGGCGAGGACAGGGACGAAGAAAGAAATAGAGAGAGAGAGAGAGAGAGGGATAGAGAAGGGCTAAAGAGAAAGGGAGTGCTTACTGCATAATGAATCAGTCTCCCTCGACGATCGTTTGTACTCCTCTTCCAGTATAGATATAGATATGTATAGATATAGATATATATATATATATATATATATATATAGATGTGCATATATGTGTACATGTGAGTACACACACATATACACCTATATCTATAGAACATCGGTCTAATTAGCACAATTTTTTGCAACTCTTCCATCTATTCAACATTCCAATTCCCAAGGTTACTTTTCAAAGTAAAATAAAAACTTTTCAGATCGATTGCCTTTTTTTATTTGACTATTTTTTCAATCTCTCAATTTACGGTAAAGATTGAAATTTAAAGCAATAACATTGGAATGTAAGATTGATTATTTGTAATTCTTAATTAAGGATAAATAATGTTATTATGGTTTCAATAAATTGGTATGAAATATTGTAATATTTTTTGAGGATAATTTAAATGGAATTTATGTTTTTTGTAAAAGATTTTTTCTTTTCTAGTTAGACGAATTTAATTAAACTGATAAAAAATTTCTATTTAGCCGAATTTTTGTATTCCTTTCAATCATCCCTTTGAAGAGTTCCCTTCCAAAGCAAAAGAATAACTTTTGACCGATTGCGTTTTTGAAGAATTTAATTAAACTGATATAAACTTTACGATTAACACAATCTTTGTATCTCTTTCATTCATTTTATCTGGCAATATGCCCGGTTATTCTTTTTTATTTTCAATCTCATTGTTCGATACATAATACCGCAGGGGTATGTTGATTGATTATTTAAAGTTTCCATTTATAAGAAAAAATTGTATATAATTTAGTAGAAACGATTAATAAACTGATACGTAATTATAGATACTTTTTAGGATTATCTCTATTCGAGCGTGCTATTAATCAAAGAAAAATTCATCGTAAATGTCTTATTGAGGTATCCATTAAACTGATATAAAGTTTACGATTAACACGATTTTTACATTCCTTCCATCCATTCAACCTAATAATACACCTGGTTGATTTTTTCTGCTTTTAATCTTTAATTAATTTAATCTTAATAAATCCGGTAAACAAATTACACGGGAGTATGTTCAATTGATTATTTGAATTTTCATTTACGAAGTAAGATTATAATTTAATGGACAGGATCAATAAACTGATCTGATTATTATATCTTTTAAGATCATCTATTCGAGCGTACTGTTCTTCGAAGAATAGTTGATCGTAAATGTCTTCTTGACTGTATTCAATTAAACTGATACAAAATTTACGATTAGCGGATGGTAAACGTGTTCTTTTCGGAAAATGGTAAGAGTTTGTTTGTAATATTGTTAGAAGAACGTTTAAATATCGTGCTAAGAGCTATTTAACAGAAAACATGTGATAATGTATATATATGTGATAAATAACACCTAAGATCACGGTAACATATTAATTCTGTGAGAATCCAGGGAGAAACGTTAGTCAGGAATATTAATGTTCTAAGAAAAGTTAAGACCGTTTGTTGTTCTTGCATAATCAACGTATTAAATCATTCCAACCTGTGCTTTTATAAGATATTAATTAATTTCTTTTAAGAATAATGAATAAAATTTACATATATATCCATAATAAGAAGATTATTAATTAGAGGTTAGGTCTCTCTATTCACTTTTAAAATGAGAAATTTTCTATAAATTTGAAACTTTGATTGTCCTTTAAACGAATATTCTCTCGTCTTATTAATTATACGATTAATAGGGATAATTATAACTGCTTTTACAGTTCTCTTAAACTTCATTTGTCCCTGTTTAACGCTATTATTATACGAACATTAAGTATTCTAGTTACGTTCATTCTTCTCCCTTATTTAACCCTTTGAATAGTATAACCTAAGTTTACATTTTATCTTACAATTAGTTGGCCTGTCTTTATACTAACGACTATTTACTTTTGGAATTTTTTATTAAAATAATATTGTCCTAAATTTTCGTTTTCGCGAAATTATTTATTCATAATGATTATTCAAAATTATGGCTATTTATAACTGTTCCTTTCATGAGTAGTGCCGGTTATATATTCTGCTAATATATATATATTATAATTATATGTTAAATAAGAGGAAATGAATCCCTATGTCACGTGATAAATTGAAATTGCTGCACCGAAAGTTAGTTTGCGTGTNTATATATATATAATATTCCACTAAATATTAGCACCAAATGAACTAGCGACATCTGGCAGTAACGATATGCAAATTAAACATCACGTATTTGATTAGCGTACAAGAAAAAGCTCTCTTGACACGTGTAAAGGGTTATTCGTCTTGCAAGCACACACTAGGAGCTCCAAAAATGCGAAACCCTCTTAGCATGTACAGTGTGCACTAATGGCACAACGACCCATTCATTAGTGGCGTACTAATGGCTAGTTTCGTCGTCGCGAAAGTGTCAAAACTTAGAACGAAATAATAATTGTTTTTTAAGCTCTGGTCGAAAATAAAATCAACTTATTATTACTATTATTATTAATTTTATTTAAATGACACATTTTATTTTCTTTAAAGCTCGTATAGTTTTATTAAATCAAACTCGTGAACATTTGTAACGTGTGTATTTGCGAGAAATGATTTAAAATCTTTGAATATTTACACGTTACTTAAGCAAATTCCATTTAAATTCTGCTCCAACACCGCTAAATACCGTTAAATTAGATTCTAAAAGTAAAAGATGAAATTGTAGGAATATATCATATAAATATACCAACGCGAAATTGAAGCGACACTTCACCGAGAAGACCATGAAACAACTTCGTAAAACTTGAACGAAAAAAAGTACATCTCTGTTACATAGAGAACCAAGGTTACATCATAAAATAATAAAAGCTCAAACGCGTGAACAATATAAATACAAGGATATCAATTAATCAACGATCTCCGATTACCTTACGTTTTTCGATTGCGTTTAAACCTTATGAAAAAATTCCCATGCTTCCAAGCATGGAATTGTAACTTCCTAGCTTGTTTTACAAAGTTTTGTAAAAGCTATAAAAAAAAAAAGCTACAAAGTTTTACTCAACTGACCTTGTTAATCAATCATCGATTAATTTAAAAAGATATTTCATTATTTCTAAACATGTATATATTAGTTAATTTGTATTAATTTTCTTTAAATTGTACAATTTTTTAATCATTTTATTTGTGATATATAATGATATTAACTCGTGCTTCATGATGCAACATCAAAGAATTGATACACCTTTTTAACATGCATTTTCAATGATATTTGATTTTATCTAAAAACTTTCAATGTTGTTCAAGTTTTCATATATCAAAATGACATTTAAATTATTATGCACATTGATGTTATTACTGTTATTTTTGATTTTATAAAAAGAAAAATGTTTCCAATAAATGAAGTAACATTGCATAAAAATCACATCCGATGATAGACAATTTTTCTCAAAATCATTTCTTTACGAAATTTTAAAAATATTAAAAAGAACATTTTTCTAAATAGAATTTGACGATTTTTTCACATGAAATAATTCCACGTACCTCTTTTAATGAAAATATTTTATAATACGAGCTCAACAAATAATTAACGATCTTATTCTGGGTTTTAAATTTTTGTTATTCAGGAATCAATTAATGTAAAAAATAATCATGGAATTAGATTTAAGAAGCTATTAAAATTCTTAAAATCTTTTGGAAAGAAATGGCTTTGAGAAAAAATAGTTGGCCACAGTCAAATATGTTTTTTAAAATATCTTAACTTTATCTTGAATATTTTATTTATAAAACTAAAAGTAAAGGAAAAATTTTTAAGATAATAATAATTATTAAAAAAAAACTATTATAAAAAATCCTAACCGATTGTGAAGGTAGGATGATACGCGAAAATCATTGGCATGCTGTTCTAATACCCGATATACACACATATACATATAATTCCTTTCTATATACACATATACATATAATCGTATGCAGGCGTCATTGTTCTTATAAATATCAGCTTCGATAATTTTCACTTTGTATAGAAAAATCGTAACAGATCGTGTGTCCACGTTAATTTGAAATTATTGTAATACAATCAGTGGCATGCTTTGTTTAATATATGATATACATATAAATTTATCGGTAATTAAAATGTTGATAAAATAATTTTTTTTATAATACAATTATTTGTATATTGAAGAATAAATTATAAAATCAATGTTTTCAATTTTCTGATTCGATCCACTATTATAATAAACAGCATGTATCCATAGTTTATTTCGATTAACACATATACTCGTATGCAGGCATCACTGTAATAACAAATACTGATCCCGAAAATCTTTATTATGTATAAAAAAAACAAAAAACCCGAAACCAATTATGTGATCAAATTAGGGTAAGACATGTATCGAAGTAAAGACGAATCACTGGCATGCTTTGTCTAAGACCCGATATACTATACACATATATGTATAGTTTATATATCTATGTACACACATATACATATACTAGTATGCAGGCATCACTGTATTAATTAAATGCCCCGGCCTCGATAATTTTTCATTTGTAGAGACGAACGAAGGGATACCACTCGGCGGACTGCTGGAGCGATTTACCTCTTTTACCTGTGCTGATTTCGATCGGGGATCAGCGACCTGGACGGTCTCGTCGGGAGGCAGCCGCCAGGAGTTCCTCTCGATGTTGACGCTGGCGTTCATAGCGCTCTCCTCCTCCACTCCTCGTTTTCTTCTTCCCCTTCTTCTTCTTCTTTTTTTGCTTCCTCAGCCACTTCCTCTCCTTCCAGTCCAATCTCTTCCCCGACGAGGTCCCCAGGGTAACCACCCCCGGGCCACTCCTGGGGCCGAAAGTATACCACGACAATCCACAGCTTCTCACCTGCACATGTACAAATAAGAATTTTTCTGTCAATACCAAGATCTTTTCAAGAGATCGAATATTTTATCCTTTTTCAGGATTTCAATTGAAAATGTTACCGGTCACCGGTAACCTCACAACACGATCAATAGTAAAAATAAGTAATTAGAGTAAATATCGATAATGAATACTATTGTTTTTATAAGGGTTTCAAGAAAATAATGACATATATAACATGCAAAAATAATTTTATAATTACAAGGAAAATATACATTACATGTAACAACGTTTTTTCTCGTACGTAATTGCTTGATAAAATGCAATCTTCATCATCAGAATTAAATATATCGCTAACTTTATCCTAAAATTAGAAATTAAAATATTTTTTAAGTTACTTGCTTGTATAACACCATTTAATTTACAAAAGAAGTAATCAGTAAAAGCTCTATTACCAATTTCCTATAACATTTTATATAGTTTTTCGCAGTGGTGAACTATAAGCAAATCAATTACAGATTTTCATAAATTCTAATCTAAAATATTTTCATATATTATTTCAATCATATCACTATAAAAACCAATAAGAATGATTAATCATTTTCTCATTTAGTTAACATTTAAAGTTGAATTAAATAATTAAAAGTGCTCAATTTTCCAACTTCAAATATTTAATAAAATATTAATTTAATTTTCAACATGGCTGATAATTTTACAAATCGGGAGACAGTCTGAATTAGAATCAGATTAATAAAAATTAATTTCTCATTTAATTTCAAGATTCAACTGAATAATTGAACGTGTTCAATGTTTTCTCAATTATAATTAGAATAATATTCTAGAACTTATCGAAAGTATGCAAGAGTTTATTTTCAAACATTGTCGATAGATTTGCGAAAAGGAAGATGATACTATGAATGAAAGGAAAGTTGAAGGATAACAATGAGACTGACTGGGTGAAACTTCATTAGAGTCGGCCTGTAAATTAAATACGAGTATTCGAAGATTTATATCAAATTAAAGCCGAGAGCAAATCTCATTTCTATAGTTTCAATTACGAAACGTTTCATTTCAACTCGTGTTCCTTTCTATTTTTCTTTATTGTTTCTGAAAAATTATCCTTTTTTTTTTTTTAAATGAATTTTATACAAGATAAATATCTATTCGATTACATTTAAATTTAAATCTATCTTATTTAATTGTTCTTGCAATTGATGCGTGTATAGTTTTGAGTTAATAATTACGATATTCATTAGTAATTTATATTAATTATTTGTTTGAAACTCATGTTTTTGCTGAATATTTGAATAAATTTCGTACAAATTATTATTTTGACCGGTGAGTACAAATTTATCGCTGACATTTGGGTATTATTTTTTTTGTTCTTTCTTTCTTTCTTTCTTTTGTGAAAAATATGAAGAAAAATTATTGCTCGTAGGTGTTCATGGTAAATGCTCGATCAAATGCAGCAAAGGTAGTAGAAAGCTATAGATTTCAAATTGGACGGATTTATGAGACGTAAAAGGAGAATGAACTGATCCTACAAAAGACTTTGGGTTGTGAATAAAAAGCAAATCCGATCGAAATCTCGGTTTCGATGCTTTTTATTTCATTTTTGTGCTTTCGTTCTCCAGTCACCTTTCGTGGTTGAACAAGTTGTTACGATTTTGAGTGAAGATGAAAAGATACTATCTCGAATATAATTTGATATACAATAAAATTGATTGATATATACTAGACATATACGAATAAAATGTCGTTTATTCCAATGGTTCCAAAACTTTTACGATTTTTGACACCCCTCTTGAATCTAAATTTCCTTATGTCAAATTCTAACAAATATATTTCGCAAAATAGCCAATATTTGTTTCAATGATCTGATCAAAATAAATAAAACATATTTTAGATCATACAAAAAATGTAATTGAAATAATTCAATTAATTATAATAATTAATGAAATGAATGAACCTGCTGTTTATCGTAGCACATTTTCTCAAACCGTGGAATTAAACTGAACAGAGTTATTTACTTTTCCTTCTTCTTATTAATTTTCGTCAAAAATATTCAAAAATTTGCAATAACACATATATGATGTGGAAAGATACAAGATGAATTTAAAAACATTTAATAATTAATTAAACTATCTATGTAACTATGATCTGCAGTGTCCAGAGAATTAAACTGTATTAACCTATTGCAGTATAAACTTGGCCCGATCTCCCTAATACTCGTAACATTGAATAGAGAATTTACCCTGGAATATATGGAAGATATAGAACGGGTAGAATAAGGGGGGTAGGACGTTATCCTCAACAAGGAGGACGGTGGTGGTACGTTCGCCTTCCTCGTTACGTCAGAACGGGGTGCGTTACGTCAGCAGTGCGGTAGACCGTGTGGGAACAGTCACCGAGGGATATGATCTAGTTGAAAAAGAGGGGGGATGAAAAAGGTGGGGAGTAATCGAAGGAACGGGGAGAGGGGATGCTGATGATAGGGGATGGAAAGGAATGAGGAAGGGTGGCAAGAGAACGAATGGGAGGACTTGAGAGGCTGACGCAAAATAAGGTCGACCACCTTGGATTTCATTCATCGGCCACATCGTCAGCCATGAACAGAACATCTCTCTACGTGGATTTACTCCTTTCAGTTTGTCGAGTATCTATGAACGAAAACATACAAAAAGCAAAGTGGAAATATCTTCTCACAGATCATTGTTCAACTAAGTTTTATTATTATATAGAAATGATATCCATATTTATTTTGTATCTTTTACTCCATTATATTTCTCCTTTCGTAGATATAAAGTAGTGATTCTCAATCGTTTTTTTTTCTTTTTTATTCCATTTCCATCTTTTATCATTGTTCGGAATATTATTTTAGCTTTTTTTTTCTTTTCCGAGAAAGTTTAACTTAAAAGTTTTATCTTTTCTCAACATTTTTTTTCCTGAAATCTAAAAATTATGCTTTAAAAGAGAATGATAAGATTCTTGTCTTGTAAAGAATTCCTGATTTTAAGCATCGTATAAAGATCTAAAGTATCCTTTAAGGAGTTATTTTATTGAATTAAAAACGAAAATATTAAAATTATTTTAACACAATAAAACAAACCTTTTTTTAAGAAAAATCGTGTTAATTCTAAATAATCGGTTGTTGATAATGTAGAATAAAAGATGACTTTATCGATACTTATTTTTTTGCTCTATCATATCAACGGAAAAAGTAGAACGATACAACCTTATAAAACTATTGAAGGATAGATATTGAATATAAAAGTTATTTAATATCCTGTCTATCAAACGAATTGATTGAAAAATTAAAAAAGTTAGATTTACAAAAAAATAGAAAGAAAATATTTATTTGATGATTTATTGCGATACAACTGGAACGGACCAATTGCAATCTGACAGAAAAAAGATCAATATAGTGTTAGTAGTGAGCCTCCTGAAGTTCTGGGCTAATTGGAACGAGTTGATCGTTTCCAGACGTTTGCGATGATGTTCATAGACAACAAGTTGTTTTTGACGAAAAGTTGGGGAAAAAAGTTGTGTCGTGCAAGTCCATTCAATTAAGAACAAAACCAAAATTGCACAGCTGTTTTAGTTGTTCAATTAAAAATTATTTATAGTTATATTCATATATTGTTATTTATGTACATTTTTGTGGGTTTATTAATTTTGCACTAAAAAGAACTTTTTTCCACAAATTTTGTATCGATATTGAATCTTCTTTTGTAACATTGTCACCTTATTCTAAGTATTGTAATATAAAATTGATATAGTAAGACAAGGGAAGGTTTTGTGTTGCTCAAAAAAAGTTCTTATCAATATAAAAATATATATTTTAAATATAAATAAATTTTTCCCAAAAAAGGAATAAACTTTTCGGGAAACCAAATGCTATCAAATATTAAGTTGTCTGAAAATTTCGTGCCGATAATAGAGAAAATTTATGTATATTGAAAATATAAATCGAATATACGTCTGTAAATCAGCATCAATTTCCCTTGTATACGAAGGCGGTTAAATAATAAACTGAATCATAAAAATATAGCAGACACACATAAAAATAGTATAAAACATAAATAAAACTTTAAACTGTTCTATAGTATAATTTAATAGTAGAAATAAAAAACTAACAAACAAAACAAACTTGTATTAAACTTATGAAGATATATTAAATAAATAAAATTATATACAACACCGTTTTAGAAACACATAAAAGTAGAATAAATTTCACCTAACAATAAGAGACCATTAAGTTTTCTCGTAGCATTGACGTCAAACGAAACATCGCAAAAAATTTGTTTATTGATTAGAAAATTTATTACAAATTTTATTTCCATTTGATTAATTGTTTTTTTCAAAAATTGTTCCAAATTTCTGAAACACCTTGTCTATTGTATTTCAAAAATCGATACAAAAGGGAAAAATGGCGTTTCTTAATGGATTCCGTTTTTTTTCGTGCTAATATTCCCTCTTATCGAGCTTGTTCTATACCCAAGGCATCGAAATGGTACTCGAAGATGCTGAGTCTCGCTAAAATGTCGGGGAAAAGACTTTGATCCCGTCAATGAGTGCCTCGTTAAAAGAACGCTTATACTGTTCTCCATCGTTCTTAATCTTATAGCTAAGAGACTGCTTGGTCTCAAATATAAAACTATTGATTTTCAACATTTTTCTAGTGAGAGACTTTTTTAGCGAGTGTTACCGAGAGACGAATGAGACGAATGTATGACGCAAGTAAAAATATTGAAAAAGAAAAGAGAGAGAGTGATGCAAAGGAACGGTGTGAAAGAGAAAGAAAGAGTGTGAGAGAGAGAGAGAGAGGAGAGAAAGAGAGAGAGAGAGAGAGAGAAAGAGAGAGAGAGAGAGAGAGAGAGAGAGAGAGAGAGGTGGAATATAAATTGCACACTTTTATTTTATTTTTCTATTATTAATTTTACGTGAGAAAAGCTGATAGAAATAGAAAAAAAGGAAAAAGAGAATTAGTGAAATAAAGGATAATAAGATAGAGTGAGATAGAG